CGGAAAGCACCTGCGTCAGCCGGAAGGTAAGGGTCCCGTGCTGCCGCCCTACCCACTCGGCGATGACCGGTTGGAGAGCCTCCACGGCGGCGGAGCCAACGCGTGGAGTGTCCAGTCGGAACGACCATCTCACCATGGTGGCTCCGTCTTATCCAGGGCCACCCGTAATCCCAACGCCTCAATGCGCCCGACCACCTGGGAAACTCCCGTGGCGGCCAGGCGCGCCGCCTCCTGGAAGTTAGCCCACCGGGCCGTGACTAAGGTGTCATCCGCGTAGCAGATTACACCCAGCCCGGGGGGGAGACGCCCTCGTAGGGCCCAGTCGTACCCGATGTTCCACAGGAGAGGTCCTAGGACAGACCCCTGCGGTACACCGCACGACATGGCCCTGCGTCTCAAGACGCCATCTCGGTCCTCGTACATGACGGTTCGCTCGGACGGTTACGGCATCGATCGTCGAACGCCCCTCTCGGAAACCGAATTGGGCGTCCGACAGATCGGGGCCAACCTCGCAAAGGTGCCGAACGATGCGGGCAGAGAGTACCCTCTCAAAAAGTTTACCCGCCTCGTCCAGCAACACGATAGCCGCCTATATTCGGCAGGCCGTCCCGGCTTCTGCAGCAGGACCAGCTTCCCGCATTTTCAGCGCTCAGGGAAGCGTCCGGACGCCAGGCTAGCGTCCAACACCTCCCTGAGGTGGTCCGACATGTAGTCGAGGGCTCGGGCCATTACTCGGGCCGGAACCCCGTCCGGCCCGGGGGCGGTGTTCTTGGATCGAATCCGTAGAACAGCCGCTACCATCTCCGATTCCCTGACGGGCGGAACATCAACCTCGCTGCCCCGGTCGTCTCCGGCTGATGCAGCCATCGCGCCGCGTGACCCCTACTGGGGTCCTGGGACCGGGAGAGCTCGAATCAGATGTACAAATGATCCGAGAGCGTCTCGACCTCTTCCAGGACAAACCAGTTTCTTACTCGTGCGGCGACTGCCTTAAGCCTTAAGCGGCCTTAAGCCACTGCGACGACGCGAGCGGGGAGCGCACGACCGGCGCAGGGGGCAGTCTCGCTTCCAGACCGGCCAGACGGCCGTCCAGCATACGCCCAACTGCGTCAAGAATTGACCGCAGTTGGGCGTCAGGTACCCCTGAGGTGGTGGTAGGGACAGGCTGGGGCGTGGACGGGGTCCCCCGCTCGGGGAGATTCGCCCTGAAGCAGGTGAACTGAGCGCTCAGCTCGTTCACCTGCTCCGTCAGCCTGTCATTGGCCATCTGTAGGCGAGAAACATCGCCTACTAGGCACTCCACGACCTCCGACATAGCGGAGGAGGAGTCCTTAAGGGCCCTCACAAAAGAGCCCTTAAGGTTTACCGACTTGGTGGCTACCTTCTGGATGATAGCCACCGCCGCTCTCGCCCTCTCCTGCACAGACACGGGAGCCCGGGGGGCATCTCCCTCCACCGGCTAACAAATCTTGAGCAGGAGATCCGCGATCTCCTCCTCCGCTGCGGCCTCGAGGTCCGCTCGTACCCCACTGTAGGAATACGCCTTGGAGAAGGCGGAGCCTGACGGGACGGTTACAGGGGTACGCGACCTCCCTATACGGCCGCCCTTAGGAGGCCCAGACTCAACGGATGGGTGTTCTTCCCCATCCCTCGAGAGTTCCCTTTTACGGCTCTCGCTCGGTCCCGCTTCCACCACCATGCGCTCCGAGCTGTCCGTCCTCTCGCTGGGGCCTTCAACCGCGCCAGTCGTGGCAGATTTGGAGCGCAAGCGCTCCGATCTTCGGCTCCCAGCAGTCAGTCTGCTACAGACTACTACTGGGAGCCCCACCGAGATAGGCGTTCCCAACACAAGAGGAATTGGATTCCTCTTTCCTTCCCACCGTTTCTGTGTCCGATTGGCTAGCCTGTTTCGTCGTTTATTTCAGTCCTTTTCCTTTAATTTTTATTTCATTTTCCATGTTATACCCACGAGTGGGGGAGAACTGAAGGTCCACCCGGGCAGAGATCCCCCAATACCCGGGTAAGCGTAAATTTATGCCCAACCGAGGGGTCCGCAAGTGCCCCGGCTGGGAGTGCGCTTACGACTGAACTACCCATCAGCCAAGCATTCCCTGGCCACGCACCAGAACACGGGATTCGGGGAATTTTTTAGAGAGGTTCTCTTCCTCGCGGTCCGGGCGGTTAAGCCAAGACCCTCGCCCCCGATCAGAGCCGCGAGACTTGACCACAGCGCTCTTCTCGGGATTACGATATGCCGACGGTGACAGGGAGACTACGTCCCCCTGCCTGCTCGGTGGTAGTGTCAGTATACGCCGAGCCCGTCCTCCTTTCTCCACCGCTAGCAGCGGAGAAACTGGCCCCTACAGGGCCCCACCTTCTGGTTTTTTACCGAGGTTTCCTCCTCCATGCTCCGAAGAGCGAAGAGCCAGCAGGGCAACCGGCAGACACGCCCACCCTGCTGGACCAGGCCTTGCGCGAGAGCCGATAAACGGCTTCCTCTTCTGCTAGAATATTAGCCGCTGGCGATAATCCTCCCCTCCAAGAGTACAAGGAGGAAACAGTGCCATCGCCAGCGTTTCCAGGGTGCACTACGGGGAGGTTTTCTAGCGTAGCACCCCAAGTAAGCTTGTTCCTATCTCATCCTTTCCAAACCTTTTATTTGTGTGATTGCATTGTTTGTATTATTTTAAGTGTTTTCTATGTCTTTGAGTCACATTTACCAGGAGGTGTATTTCAAAGTAACATAAAATTCGTAATGGCTATTTCTAATTTTAACTGCCTATCTGTTTTCTTTTATCACACAACATGTTTAATTTAATATTTGTCGTTTATTTGAGCAATCCATAGTGATAAAGATACATATAAATATAAATTTTACCTAATCTATATTGGTAACGACCTGCTTGTCGCACCCGCCTATCACAAACCTACCTATTCTCTGCACTTGCCATTGTATAGTGTGGTGTACCGTTTAATTTAAACATTTGCTATTATTACCTACAATTTTAACACTTTGCACGTAACAGACGGTACCTATCTACAGTTTACATACCATAATTAATTTCATTATTCATTTCATTCTAAAATAAAACTATTAAAGCTATTCTTCACTATTTCGTGGCTATCGATTTGCATTTCAGTGCTGTTTAAGCATTTGCTTTGCTTAAAAATTCTTTGCAGAACGATCCGAGCTTAATTACGCGTCGAACTCAGGCCGGCGGACAGCGATTGGAGCGTGGAACGTTTGGGTTCGATGCACAAATTATTTGCCTAGTTCATTATTTGTTTGGTTAATTATCGTTACTACGTACTTGCTTAAATTATCTACTTGCCGTGTTTACTTACATATATGTGGGAATAGGAACGCAGCTGTAAGAGAGAGAGAGTGTGATGTGTGAGTGAGAGGGAGAGAGATGCCGGAAGGAGGGGAAGGCATGTGAAAAAGCAAGATGGAGGATTAACATGTACGACGGTCAATGGTGCTAAGCAATAAAAATATTATTTTACTAAAAAGACGGTGTAAACCTTATTTGAAGAACCCTATATCCCACAATTTTGGGGGCTCGTCCGGGATATAGAAAAGAAGACGCGACGATCGACGACGAAGTTTTTTATCTAGCTGCAGTGCATGCAACACGTGGTTGGGTGCGCAGGAGCAAGAAGGTGGCTACAAAAGAATATTTTACGACTTACGACGAATACAGGATGGGTAAAGATGCCGAAAACTACGGAGGATGTGTCACTAAGAGGTGTACAATATGCTGAAGACTTTATAAGTAATTTTTCGGGTCAAGACCATACCTACTCAGTGGGCCGCTGGATTCAAGATATTGAAGATAATACGGAAATATTCGAATGGACGCCGCTCCAACAGCTTGTGATTGCGCGTAGGTCGTTGACAGGGACGGCAGGGCTATGGCTAAGAAGCGAAAGACCGTTCAAATCATGGGCCGATTTGAAACAAGCCATTAGCAAAGAGTTTCCCGACGCGATTGACCAGAAGACGATTCATGAGATGATGAGTGCACGTAAGAAAAAATCTGATGAAGGCTACATGGATTACTTGCTTATTATGAAAGAGCTCGGCAAAAGGGGTAAGATTCCCGATTACGTTGCGATCAAGTACATTGTAGACGGCATCCAAGACTTAGAAACTAATAAAATGCTATTATACGGTGTTACAAGCTATAGTGAACTGAAGGAGAAGCTGAAAATTTACGAACAAGTTAAAGAAAAAATGAGGGCGCGACATGCCAACATGAAGGACGTCGTTCGGGCGGAAATCCGACGAATCCCAGCACTTCGAAGTCCGCCATGTTCACTACGGATTACGTTGGCACCACTGACAGCGATGACGAAAATGACAGCTATCACTGTCAAAAAAATAAAGATGTTTTGCAGATCGTCAACAAGCCTAATAAGAAGCCGGTTTTGAGTATTTGTGTTGAAAATACCGAAGAAATGGCGCTCGTTGACTCGGGAAGCGATGTAAACTTAATGTCGCAAGACTTCTATGAGGTGATCGGCCAGCCAAAGACAACTGAAGATGGTATTGTATTGTAGGGTCTCGGACTGAAACCAGTGCGTTCATACGGAGAGTTTACAACCTGTGCTGTGATTGACGGACGTCGTTACGACGAAGTTACATTCCATGTTGTGCCTAAAGACTGTATGCCTTATCGTTTAATATTAGGTCATGAGTTTCTCGCTAGTGTGACAATGATTATGAATGGAGGAAGTGTGTTGTTGTTACCCTCAGGTGAAGAATGGATGAGACAAATGGATTGTTTTATTGTAGGTTCGAGTGTTGTTGTAGGTTCCACAGTCAGCCCAACTGTCAGAAAGGAGGTTTTACAATGTGTAGATGACTACAAGCCGGTCCAAGTAAAAGAAGCACCCATACAACTTAAAATTATCTTGAAGGATGACATCCCAGTAGCTCAAAAACCTAGAAGATTGTCACTGAAGGAACAGCAAATAGTTGAAGACCAGGTAACGGAATGGTTGGAAAAGAATATAGTGCGGGTAAGTTTCTCAGAATATGCTAGTCCTTTGGTGTTAGTTAGGAAGAAAGATGGTTCTACAAGGGTCTGTGTAGACTACAGACAACTCAACAAGAAGATGATAAAGGACGAGTATCCACTACCTGTCATTGAAGATTTAATTGATAAACTGCGAGACTCTAAAGTATTCAGTGTTATTGATTTGAAAAATGGTTTTTTTTCATTTGAAGGTCAGTGAAGAATCAATACACTACACCTCATTTGTGACCCATCATGGTCAATTTGAATTTACGCGTGCACCTTTTGGGTTGTCAAACTGCCCTAAGTATTTTATGAGATTTGTATCAACAATTTTTAGGGATTTAATCAACAAGGGCATAATGTTAGTTTTTATCGATGACATTATCATTCCAGCTAAAGACGAGGTACAAGGAGTGCAAAGATTGAAAGAAGTTTTATCAGTTGCTTCAGAATATGGACTAGAGATAAATTGGAAGAAGGCAAACTTGATATGCAGTGAAATTGAATATCTGGGTCATCGCATACAAAATGGTGAAATTAGCCCGAGTTTGGAAAAGACAGATGCTGTGATGAGATACCCGGAACCAAGAACAACTAAGCAGGTACACAGTTTCATAGGACTTACTTCTTACTTCAGAAAATATATAGAGAATTATGCTGCAATAGCGAAACCCTTAACAGACTTATTAAAAAAAATGCTATTTTTATTTTAGAAGAAGATCAACGTAATGCTTTTAACATTTTGAAACAGAAGCTGGCGTGTGGTCCAGTGTTGAAGATATATAATCCTAAGCTGCCCACGGAAGTACATACAGATGCATCTAGCATTGCATATTCAGCAATACTGTTACAGCAGCATCCGGATAGTGGTTTACATCCAGTCCAGTATATGAGTAGAAAGACAAATGATGCTGAACAAAGGTACCCTAGCTATGAACTGGAGGCTCTAGCTATAATAGAAGCTGTTAAGAAATTTCGTCATTACTTGTTCCCCATACATTTTAAGATTATCACAGATTGTCAAGCCTTTGCACTAACATTGAAGAAAAAAGATTTATCATCTAAGGTTGCGAGATGGGTGTTGTTTTTAGATCAATATGACTTTGAAGTTGAGCATAGAAAAGGATCAAGGATGAGGCATGTAGACGCATTGAGCAGACACCCTTATATTTCAGTCATGGTAGCAAGCCTTCATGACCAAGTTAAGGAAGCCCAAACCCAGGATGAAGGACTGAAAGCAATGATTGAAATCCTAAAAGAAAACCCCTATTTAGACTATTGGTTGGAAAACAATATTCTATACAAGAGTGACCAGAAGCAGCTAGTAATACCTAGAAGCATGGAAAAGGAAGTCATACGAAGAGTGCATGCCAATGGTCATTTTGGTAAGGGAAAAATGAAGGAACTTATTGTTAAAGATTTTTACATCAAAGACATAGATAAGAAAATTAATGACTTTATAGCAAGCTGTATACCATGCTTACTAGCAACGAAGAAGCAGGGCAAACAGGAAGGTTTTCTTAACCCTATTCAGAAGGAGGGAACTCCCCTGCATACCCTTCACATGGATCACATCGGACCAATGACTGAGACTAGAAAGAAGTATAATCACATTCTTACAATAGTAGATGCCTTTACCAAATTCGTGTGGCTTTTCCCTACAAAGAGCACCACAAGTAGTGAAACTCTAGATAAGCTTAAAATACACCAACAGACATTTGGGAACCCAGAAAGGATTGTCACCGATCGCGGTACTGCTTTTACTAGTCATGAGTTTGAAGAATATTGTGAGAGTGAGAAGATACAACACATAAAGATAACAACAGGAGTGCCACGAGGAAATGGCCAGGTGGAAAGGGTACATGGAATCTTTAAACCAACTTTTACGAAGTTATGTGCAGAAGATCCATCAGTGTGGTACAAACATGTAAGCCGATTGCAACGGGCAATAAACAGCACTTTCCAAAGGAGCATTAACACTAGTCCCTTTGAGCTATTGACAGGTGTCAAGATGAAATCCAAAGAAGATATACCTTTAATTAGTTTATTACAGCAAGAAAGTCTAGAACAATTCAGTGAGGAAAGAGAAGTATTAAGAAAAAGGGCTAAAGAACAAATATTAAAAATCCAGAAAGAAAACACTAGTACTTATAATAGTAAAAGAAAGGAAAGTACTAAGTATAAAGTGGGTGAACGAGTAGCAATACAAAGGACACAATTTGGCTCAGGACTCAAACTAAAGCCGAAGTACTTAGGACCATATAAGATTACCAAGGTGAAACGAAAGGACCGCTATGATGTCGAAAAGGATGATGTCACATCTGAAGGTCCCATAAAGACTACTTGCTCAGCTGATGGGATGAAGAGGTGGCCTGACAAGGATGGAGAAATTGAATAAGTGTGTTTCGATTTGTAGTGAGATATGGATGTAAGACTGAATGTGGATATTCAATTTTTTTTTTGTTTTATTTGTTTCATTTAAGTTTTCTGTGTTAATAAGAAACTCATTTCATCTGTTGGTAAATGTAAACTGTAGTTTAATCTCATAAGTTGGTTAGTATTGTAAGCTGATTTACTAATGTTTTGTTATTAAATAGTGCTTAAGTTTATAACATGTGTAGAAGTTAACCTTTGCATTGTATTCGCATAAGACCTTTAATTAAGAACTGTGTAAGACAAGAATTTTATTCATTTTGTTGTTAATATTTGTGATTAAAATATTTAAGTTGTTTGATGAATGAGTGAGAATGTAATAAGGAATGAGAGTCAGTCTAGCATGTCTGAGGACAGACATGGATGTCGGATGGCCGAATGTGGGAATAGGAACGCAGCTGTAAGAGAGAGAGAGTGTGATGTGTGATGTGTGAGTGAGAGGGAGAGATTTGCCGGAAGGAGGGGAAGGCATGTGAAAGAGCAAGATGGAGGATTAACATGTACAACGGTCAATGGTGCTAAGCAATAAAAATATTATTTTACTAAGAAGACGGTGTAAACCTTATCTGAAGAACCCTATATCCCACATATACTAATCAAACTAGAATTCCAGCATTGGACTTAATAACCAAAAATAACCCTATAGAATCAGCTAACTCAGTAAATAGATATTTTACAAGTATTGGAAAGATCATAGGCCATAGAACATGCAGATGACTAATTTACCAAATCTTTATGAGCCCTATCATCCCGTGGCTCAATCGCAGTCATTTGTGCTTCGTCCCACAGATACTCATGAAGTGGACTTGATTATATCTAAACTGAAGAATGATTGTACTATTGGCCTAGATGGTATTACCAACAATTTCATTAAAATATATAAAAGTATTTTAGTTGAACCACTGGTGTATATATGTAATCTGGCATTCTCATCAGGCATCTTTCCTAAGGCATTCAAACGAGCACTTGTACATCCTTTTCATAACAGTGGCGACAAAGATGAGCTTACAAACCATGTAGTTTCTAATATGGACGAAAAGAAAAAAGTACTAGCCATTTTTTAGATTTCAGCCAAGGCATTTGACACGGTCTCTGTCCCACTACTGCTAAATAAACTGGAACGGATGGGTGTTCGTGGCATACAACTGTAGTTACCTCACCGATCGCTCACAATGTGTTCAAATTTATGGTATACGTAGTCATGATCTCCCTATAGAAATAGGCGTGCCCCAAGGCAGTATTCTCGGACCGACCTTGTTCCTAATTTTTATTAATGACCTTTGCAAATTAGATGTACCTAACACTGGAAAAATAATCACTTTTGCAGACGACACCGTGCTGATTTTTCAAGGCGATTCCTGGAAGGATACATTTTTCGGCGGTAGGTGTAGAAAATTATAGACGTGTCGTAAATCTCGTAAAATTGAATTAAAATCATATTTATTGTTACTTTTGCCTAATTTTATATCTTGGGAGAAGTTAACACAGTCTATGTGCTGTTACTCAAAAAAACTCATATTTGATAAACATTTAATGTGATATAAGCCAATTAATCTACACCACCTGCCAGCGCATCGCTTTACAGTGCTTAACAATTTATTTTATATTATAAACAATCAAGAATGTCGCAGTTCTCTGATATATTATCGGCGCAGCGGACACTTGAGGAGATATTCACGAAGAAGATGTCTGATCTTGAAGCTCAGATACAAAGTGCCGGTCCTGCTTAAAACACTGTGGCCAAGGTCGCAGAGGAATTCGCTGGTGGATCACGACCATCGACGAGCTGAACCCGCTGCTGGTGAAATATCCGAGGGCGCAAACGACTTCCTCAAAATCCTCAAAGCCTGCAGGAGAAAGTAGGTCTGATAAATAAATTCAATTTAGCAGTGACATTTAGCATTCACTTAATAGTAATATTTACCATATAATTATACCACCTCATAATTATTCCTTGTATACAAGACCCTTAGCCCATTTCGTATACATATCTTTCAATTGTTTTTATTCCTGTAGTTTTCTAACCTTTATTTTCTTATTGTTTTATCCATTTTTTGTTCATTTTGACTTGACGTTTTAGGTGTATCACTAAAGAGTATAGAGTAGCATAGATTAAATATTTAATCATTCACTCACTGCTGTTCGGATACGCTGCGCGTAATATAATATCTGATATTGAGGGTGAACCATAGTCTGTATTAACACCCATGTTTTCTTCACAATGTTATGAATTGCATTTTAAATTTTTGTTTTTCTGTTCAAACTTTTTCTAGTGATGTAAGCTGGCGGGTGGTGCAGAGATACAAGCGCTGTACCAGAACATCTGCACGCACATAATTAATCGATACATATATCGATCCCCCAACCAAGAACTCGGTAAGGTGCTATTATGGGTTTTATGCTGTTATGTCAAATTCGGCATCTAGGGACCGGAATACACCTTAGCAATTTTTTTCAGATTTTTCCTAATGATATTTACAAAGATATCATGACACACATGTTTATTGTTGGGAATTTAGACACAATAATATTTCGGCAAAAACCCTGCTATAGATCTATACGAAAAAACAATTTATATTTTATTTTGGTAAGTTGCGGTTACCGGGTTATTGGCGCAACTAATTTTCATGAAGTTTTTGGTAAAAGTGAGTACGGGGTTTTTGTTGAATTAATTTTAAAATACGTATTCCGTAATACACACTAACAATGTTATTTAAGATTGGTATTGGCTCATTAATGTACGTAATATTTCAATACGGACAATTTATTTAAAATTTCAATACCTCTGTTCTGGATATTACTGTTTTTGTCTAGCCACGCAATAGTTTGCAAAGCGCAATTGTCTCTTTCTTTTGGTAGCTGGTAGACAGTAATAGACATTTGCCACGCCCCTAACAAGTGTCCTTGGCCATAGGGCCGGTGCGTAAAGTTGGTTTACGTAAACAGTTGCATTCAGATCTCTGGACTTGCACGCAGATATTTGCGCCACGCTCGATATTATTTAAGTTGTAGTGATAAACGGATAGTTTATTTAATAGTTTAAAGTGATAATGAGTTTTAGAAGAAATAGACCATTAATAAATGAACGTGTGAAGCGAATGCTTCAAATGGTTGAGGACACAATAATTACAAGTAAGTACCTACTATAACTTAGTAACACTTGAATGATTGTGTATTTTGTAACGTTTTTGTTTACTTTGTGATAGGCGCCGATCAAGAGGTAAAATGTCCAGAAATAACTCCGGAGGCATCTACCAGTGCAAAGTCTGACATCCAAGCATTATCAAAAGGTTTATAGCTTTTTTATTATACCTAATAACTCACTATACCTACTACTAAAGAATAATAAGTTGTTTTATTGTAACTGTGACATGATTGTAACTTTAATTCGTGAATTCGTCGTTATGTCGGGTCGTGCTAGCTAAGTCAAGTGGATTTTTCTAAGTTTTTTTTTCAAAAAGGAGGGGTTTTTAATTATTATACTGTAGTTTTACACGATACATCAATACCTTCCATTCATGTAAAATGATCAGATATACATATTTCAATTCGGTGCCAGCTAAATCTAGCAAATACATAAATACAGGGTTATGTAGGTACCTATGTGCAAGCTGGTATTTTTTGAGGGCAGTTTTTTGAAAACTTTAATTTTTATCATTTCAGATACATATTGCGAAATTATTGCAGTTGATCCTGAATCTAGTGTAATAGAAACTTTTTCCAATCACGTTCTGTCAAGATATAGGTTACGAGGTACGTATTGGAACCTGACCGTAGATAATTTTAATCTTTACATTTTTTCTTTATAATAATACGTAACATAATTTGGTGATTTCAATTTATCATAATCTATATAATATAATAATAAATGAATTAAATATAACAACTCAGGTAATTATATTCATTACAGACAGAACGAAAAAAAAATACGTTGATGCTGATCAGGAATCCAATGAAGATTTTTCGCCAGACGTCTCGGAATATGCTCCGAGTCCAGGCCCAAACATATTGGAGAGTCCATTAAGTAGCGCTTCAAGTCTAAGCGTAGACTCTGAATGTATTAATAAAATTATAGCATTTCCAGAAATTATTAGCACTCCATCAACAATTTCTAATCTATCATTGTATTTAACCAACGCTGATTTCGTGGCTTCTTCATCAGAAATATATATATAGGAACCTTAGATTTATCTCAACCAAGTATTGAAAAGGAAAACCAATCAAGACCAAACATAAGAAGAACAATAATAAGCCATGAAGATATAGATGACACGTTAACATCAGATGAAACTTCAGAAATTAATCACTATGAAACATTGACCGGTAGAACTTCAAATGACTGCTCACATGCTAAGGAAGTTGTACCCGACAATGAGGATAGTCCAAGTTTAATACGGAAAATTAGTAGCGAAGAAGAAAACAATAAAACTTTAAGACCAGAAGGGCAGTCAGAAAGTGACAATGACACAACATTGACCGGTAGAACTTCAAATGATTGCTCACATGCTAAGGAAGTTGTAACCGACAGTGAGGATAGTCCAAGTTTAATACGGAAAATTAGTAGCGAAGAAGAAAACAATGAAACTGTAAGACCAGAATTGCAGTCAGAAAGTGACAATGACATAACGATGGGTTGTGGGACTTTACGGCGACGGCGACAGCAGAAAGCGAAAAAAAACGCACTAGGAAACGCAAGCTGATTAGAACTGAGTGGCGGACTAAGAAAAATAAAATGCTCAAAAATTCCGGCAAAGCTTACGAAGGGTGCAATTCCAAAAAAAAAATATCCTGAAAAAACTATAGGCTCCCCATGTAGGTGTAAACAACTTTTTGTAGCCAAAAATTCAGTCCGTCAGAAAGACAAGCTATATTTGACAAATTTTATAGTCTCGCTGATCGCGAACATCAATGGTTGTATATCAGTAGGTATGTCCAAGCACAAACTATTAAACGAATGACTTTAGACCGTAAAAACAACCGGACACAAACTTTAAAATATTTTTTCTCTAATTCAAATAATGAAAAAATCCCTGTTTGTAAAAGATATTTTTTGAATACTTTACAAATCGGAGAATATGTGGTTTATACAGCAATGGAAAAAGTTATGAAAGCAGATGAAGGACTTCAAGATAAACGGGGAAGACATGACAATAGGCCTAATAAAATGAATACTATGACAGAAGCCACTATTAAAACACACATTAAATTATTTCCTAAAGTACAATCGCAGTATACGAGAGCGACTTCAAACCGAGAATATCTTTCAGAAAACTTGAATATTTCGAAAATGTATCACTTTCATACTGAGTGGTTTACAGAACAAAATTATACGGATGTTGTGATGGCAACAAAACGACAATACGAAACAGTTTTTAACTCCCAATATAGCTTCTCATTTTTCAAACCCAAAAAAGACCAGTGCCTTTCGTGTTCCATCTATGAACAATCAGACGACGCTATGAAAGCCACCCTTGAGGAAAAACAAAGATTCCATTTACAGAGAAAATAAAAAGTTAGATCATTAAAAAAAGAAGAAATAGAGACAGCTGACAAAGGTAATGTGACAGTAGCAATATTTGATTTGCAAAAAGTGTTGAGTGTGCCTAAAAACGACTCCCATGACAAGAACAACTGTTCGCAACCAATTACCAAAATAAGAATGGCGACATGGAATCTAGGATCACTAACCGGACGTAGTCAAGAACTAGCAGAAACCCTAAAACGGAGAAACATCAATATGTGCTGTATACAAGAAATACGTTGGAAAGGATCGAAATCTAGAGACCTAGGTTTAGGATACCAGCTGGTCTACTACGGGACAGACAATAAGAGAAATGGTGTGGGCGTAATACTCGATACTCATCTTAAGAACAGGATTGTAAACATCGAAAGGAAAACTGACCGTCTTATTTCAGTGAAACTAGCTTTAGATAACCAAAGCATTATGAATGTTGTCTGCGCGTATGCACCACGGGTAGGGTGCAATCAGCAAGACAAGGAAGCCTTTTGGGAAGACATAGACGAATTAATGGCAAACGTACCACAGGAGGAAACAAAATTCGTTTTGGGGGATCTAAATGGCCATGTGGGCGAATACAATACCGCATTTAGAGATACGCATGGTGGCTTCGGCTATGGTAATCTAAATAAAGAAGGAGAACATATCCTTGAATTCGCTGCGCGTCATAAAATGACCATCATAAACACCACATTTCAGAAAAATCCCACCCACCTCATAACCTACAAAAGCGGGGGGAAAATGTCACAAATAGATTTTATCTTAGCAGACAGTGCCCTCAAAAAGAACTTTAAGGACTGTAAAGTTATTCCTGGAGAGTCCTTAACCGCACAACATAGAATCTTGGTAGGAGTGTACAAATTGCCCAAACCTATTAAATCAACATTTGACAAGACACCCCGAATTAAATGGAAAGATCTCGCCAGCGCGAAGGGCAACTCACTCCTTGAAGAACTGCACAATTATTTGACCAAAGATATGGAGAAGATCTATGAAAATTCTGAACCAATGTGGACTAACTTTGAGAAGGAATGCAAAAGCCTTGCAAGTCAGATATTGGGTATTTCGAAAGGGGGTGTAAGTACCGGAAAAGATCCATCATGGTGGGATAAAGAAGTTAAAGTATGTATCCAGAACAAAAAGACCATGTTCAAGAACTGGCAGGAGTCTGATCTAGAAGAGGACCACTTGAAATATAAGGAGGCGAAGTCAAACGCTAAGAAATGTGTAGCACAGGCGAGAGCTAAAGCAAGGGAGGGGTTCTACAGTAAAATTGAACAAGCACAAACAGATACAGAAATTTATAAAGTCGCTAAATACAGGAACAAATCTACTCAAGATATTAAAACCAATAAGTTTATTAAAAATGATGCCAAAAAGTTGCTAACAACTAACGAAGATATAAACCAAAGATGGTTTCAATACTATAAACAACTTATGAACGAAGAGTTCCCTAGTAAAGATCTGGAACCGCTAGCACCAGTGGAAGGACCTATACAGGAAATAAGCTTGGCAGAGGTAAAGTTGGCAGTCAAGAGGATGAAAAACCGTAAAGCCGTGGGTCCGGATGAAGTCCCAGCGGAGGTATGGAAATCACTCGGTCCATTGGGACTGGAATGGCTTATGAGACTTTTTAACCTCATTCTTAGAACCAGAAAGATACCAAATTCCTGGCGCCTTAGTCATTTGGTTCCCTTCTACAAAAACAAAGGTGACGTTACGGAATGCAGCAACTATAGAGGAATCAAACTCACATCGCATACTTTAAAAATTTGGGAACGAATAATTAACGGCCGTATTCAAAATCTGGCATCCATAAGCCCAAATCAGTTCGGTTTTGCACCCTCAAAATCAACAACCGACGCGATCCAAGCGGTAAGAATTGTCACAGAAAAACATCGTCTGAACAAAGAAGATTTACACCTTATATTCATCGACCTTGAAAAGGCTTTCGATAGGGTTCCCCGCAAACTCGTGTGGCAAGCTTTAAGAGCACAATATCTGCCCGAGACATACATACAACTAATACAAGATATGTATAACAATGTGCACACTAGAGTTAAAAGCCCCGCTGGGGTAAGCGATGAATTTGAGGTGAGAGTGGGGGTCCATCAAGGCTCTGCCTTAAGCCCGCATCTTTTCAATCTTGTCATGGACTATGTCACAAAGAGAATTCAAGCCCCGTTACCCTGGGACCTCCTGTACGCTGATGACATCGTATTAATAAACAACTCTGTAACAGAACTACAAACTGCCCTAACATCATGGTTTAATGCGCTCGAGTCTGTAGGCCTCAAAGTCAGCATATCGAAAACGGAACACATTCACACACCGATTCAGCAATGACGTCACATCAGCCACAATACACTTTCCCGACCACACTCCAGTGCCTAAAGTAACGCAATTCAAATATCTAGGATCTGTTATTATGAATAATGGAGATATTGAGGCGGATGTAACACATAGAGTAAATGTGGGATGGCAAAAGTGGCGAGCATTAACTGGAGTGCTATGTGACTCCCGCATGCCTGTTCAAACTAAAGGCAAGGTCTACAAGACTGCAGTGAGACCGGCATTGATGTATGGGGCGGAATGTTGGCCAGCAAAGAAGACACACCTACAAAAACTTCATACTGCCGAGATGAAAATGTTGAGATGGGCTGGAGGGGTAACCAGACTAGATAAAATCAGAAACGAATACATCCGTGGTAGTTTCAAAGTTGCCCCCGTAACAGAAAAACTTACCGAAAACCGTCTCAGGTGGTACGGCCATGTAATGCGAAGAGACGAGGATCATGTCGTCAAGAAAGCACTGAGCTTACCAGAGAAGAAGAAAGGCCGAGGACGCCCCCCTACTACCTGGTGGACCAGCATGACAAAACTTATAATGGAGGAACAATTACCCGACCCGACAACCCAGGATCGAATGTCCTGGCGCCGCATAATTAGGAGAGCCGACCCTACATAAAGTGGGAAAGGGCAAAGAAGAAGAAGAAGAAGTTGAGTGTGCCTAAATCTGAAGTAGGCGTATTTCATTACAAAAGAAAATATCCGTGCTATAATTTTACCGTTTTTGATGCAGTACGAAAAATAGGATATTGTTATGTATGGCACTACCAAATCGCTAAAAGAGGCAGTTCAGAAATAGGAAGTGCTCTGTTTTCTTTTTTTAAAACTGAACGTGAGAAAGGTATAACCAAGTTTTCATTATATTCAGATGGATGTTATGGGCAGAACAAAAATCGTTACATTTTCGCCCTTTATGTATATGCTGCCAAACTTTTTGGTATTACCCTAACCCATCGTTTTTTTGAAACTGGACATAGTCAAAACAAAGGAGATTCTATGCATGCATGCATAGAAAAAAACTTAAAAAATAAAGTTTTATATACCCCTGACCAAATTTATAATATTATTTTAAATTCAAAGATGACTGGCGAAAAATATCGTATCAAAGAATTAGAGCAGTCCGAAGTTTACGATTTAAAACCACTCGTAGAAGACAAGTGTTGGCGGTGCGATAAAGACGGAAATGTGATCCGTTGGGCTGACGTCATGGAGGTAAGCGTGGTCGACTCACAAGCAAATAAGTTGTTTTTCAAATATAATTTTGAAGACACTTATTCAGAGCTTGATATAAACAACACTCCCTCTACCTCAGCTAGACGACGAGGACGAAAGCCTACGAGTACTCAAGATGCAGCTGTACATATGGATAATGTGCAGTTGTAACGCGCATACCACCAACGTATACCAATAAGCAAAGCTTTGCATACAGATCTTTTGAATTTATGTAGTAGTGGAGCTATTCTTCAGAGTTACCATTATTTTTATCAATCCTTGTTCTGTTCTGAAGGGGGGAACGAAAATATTTCTGAAGAAGAATTAAATTGAAGAGTTTATGTAGCTCATTGTTGATTATAGGAATTGATTTTTTGGATTATTTTTATTAATAAATGTTCGCATTAAATTAAAGTGTCAAATTTCATTCTGTGGTATAATAAATATTACTTATATAATCGAAATTATTGTATTTTTTTTATTTATTACCTTCTGATATTACATTAAAATATATAAAAAAAGTCGGTATCGATTGGTCACAATAACACTGTTATTCTAAACTTCCTCGCAATAATAATGTTATTTATCAATACCGTTTTTTAAATTATTTCATATTACCAC